CTATGTAACCGCATTTGTGTATACCTGAATAAACTTATTTACAGTGTTGTAGAAAAGAGAAGGAGCAAGCAGATACGATCACAGGGAACGTCCGTCTACAGCAAAGGCTCCTGTGATCGTATCTGCTTGCACCTTCTCGTCTTTTCTGCAGCATTGCAAGCTCCTGATGATGTGTTGATTGCAAGATGAAAAGCCTAGAGCTATCATTCAACTCCCACCGTGGTTGTTTTGCTTCTTGTATCGCTTGTTTGGAAAGGTGTATTTCTCTCAGTGTATATATGCCTCGAGTTTAATCTTTGTTTCACGTATTAAAGTGTTCTTGCTGGTAGTGAACACGTTACGTGCAGCTTTAAAGACCCTCGTGTAGTTAATAGCCTTTAAACTCCATTAAGCAACGAAGTGGTTACATGTATAGTGTGTAGCAGGTGTGTGTGTTGACGTGTATAACAGGTGCGTGTGATTACGTGTGTAGCAGGTGTGTGATGAGGTGTGTAGCAGTGTGTGATGACGTGGGTGAGATGAAGTGCGTAGCAGGTGTGTGTGCTGACGTGTAACAGGTGTGTGATATGTATATCAGGTGCGTGTGATGAGCTGTGCAGCAGGTGTGTGTGTACTCACCTATTTGTGGTTGCAGGGGTCGATTCATAGCTCGTGGCCCCGCCTCTTCACTGATCGCTACTAGGTCCTCTCTCTTCCTGCTCCATGAGCTTAATCAAGCCTCGTCTTAAAACTATGTTTGGTTCCTGCCTCCACTACGTCACTTTCTAGGCTACTCCACTTCCTGACAACTCTATAACTGAAGAAATGCTTCCTTACATTCCTTTGACTCATCGGAGTCTTCAACTTCCAATTGTGACCCCTTATTTCTGTGTCCCATCTCTGGAGCATCCTGTCTTTGTCCACCTTGTCAATTCCTCGCAGTATTTTATATGTCGTCATCATGTCTCCCCTAACTCTCCTGTCCTCCAGTGTCCTTTCTTCGTAGAACAATCCCCTTAGTTTTGGGACTAGTCTTGTTGCAAACCTTAGCACTTTCTCTAATTTCTTAACGTGCTTGACCAGGTGTGGATTCCAAACTGGTGCTGCATACTCCAATAAGGACCTGACGTACATGGTGTACAGTCTTGAGCGATTTATTACTGAGGTATCTGAACGCTATTCTTAAGTTTGCCAGGCGCCCATATGCTGCAGCAATCTGGTTGATGTGCTCCTCAGGACATGTGCTCGGTATTATACTCACCTCAAGATCTTTTTTCTTGAGTGAGGTTTGCAGTCTTTGGCCACTTAGAATATACTCTGCGGTCTTCTTTGGGTTAAATTCAAGAACCCAGTTGATGGACCAGGCTTGTAGCCTGTCCAGGTCTCTTTGTAGTCCTGCCTGATCCTCATCCGATTTAATTCTCCTCATTAACTTCACGTCATCTGCAAACAGGGACACTTCTGAGTCTATCCTTTCCGTCACGTCATTCGCATATACCAAAAACAGCACAGGTAGTAGGACTGACCCCTGTGGAACTCTGTTAGTCACAGGTACCTACTTTGACACCTCGTCACGTACCATGACTCGTTGTTGCCTCCCTGTCAGGTATTCTCTGATCCATTGCAGTGCCCTTCCTGATATACGTGCCTGATCCTTTACTTCTGCACTAATCTCTTGTGAGGAACTGTGTCGAAGGCCTTCTTGCAAGCCAAGAAAATGTAATCTACCTACCCTTCTGTCTCGTGCCTTACTTCCGTTACCTTGTCATAAAACTCTAGTAGGTTGGGGGGCAGTGACACAAGGGATTTTTCCTTCCCTGAAACTGTGCTTGTTGTCGTTTATAAGCTTGCTTCTTTCTAGGTGCTCCACCACTTCCCTCCTGATGATCTTCTCTTTGTATACTATACACGTCAGTGACACAGGTTTGTAGTTTAATGCCTTATGTCTGTATGCTTTCTTAAAAATTGGGACTACATTTGCCATCTTCCATACCTCAGGCAGTTGTCAAGTTTCAGTGGATGTGTTGAAGATTTTTGTTAGTGACACACACAGCATCTCTGGTCCCAGTCTAAGGACCCATGAAGAGATGTCCGGTCCCACCACCTTTGAGGTATCAAGTTCATATAGCAGCTTCTTCACCTCCTCGGTTGTATGTATTTCATTCAGCACTTGTTGGTGTACCCCCTCCCATTCTGACTTCATTGAGTCCTTCCTGTCTCCACTGTAAATACTTCTTTAAATCTCATGTTGAGCTCCTCACATACTTCTTGCTCGTTTCTTGTAAACTACCCACCTTCTTTCCTCAGCCTGATTACCTGGTCCTTAACTGTTTTCTTCCTCGTGATGTGGCTATACAACAGCTTCGGGTCAGACTTGACATTCGATGCTGTTATTTTCGTATTGCGTGTGTGTGCTATGACGTGTGTAGCAGGTGTATGAATGATGACGTGTGTAACAGGTGTGTGTGTGTGTGATGACATATGTAGCAGGCGTGTATGTGATGACGTATGTAGCAGGTGTGTGTGTGATGACATATGTAGCAGGTGTGTGACAGTAAGCCTACTGCTACTTCTCATAGTCCCCCCTAGGAGCGAGTTATTGTGGGCCTAGTTCCCCTGAGTTCCCATCAGAGTGACAGGTCCTCATCTCAGCCATAGCCGGATATGCCCCGGCCTCACTCCTAGACCTGCGGTCTTCCAGTTAACAAGCTCCCCTCCCGGACTGGCTGGGGCTCACCTTTCACTGCCCGCTGTGAACAGTAGCAGGTGTATGAGTGAAATGTGTATCAGGTGTGTGTGTGATGACGTATGTAGCAGGTGTGCGTTATGACGTGTGTAGCAGGTGTGCGTTATGACGTGTAGCAGGTGTGCGTTATGACGTGTGTAACAGGTGTGTGTGATGACGTGTGTAGCAGGTGTGCGAGTGACGTGTGTAACAGGTGTGTGAGTAATGAAGTGGGTAACAGGTAATGTGCACGGTAGGTGGGAGGTCACCGAGGTAATAAGAAAGGTGCGTGAGAGGTCACCGAGGTAATGTGCACGGTGAGTGGGAGGTCACCGAGGTAATGTGCACGGTGGGAGGAGGGTTACCGTGGTAATGTGCACGGTGAGTGGGAGGTCACCGAGGTAATGTGCACGGTGGGAGGAAGGTTACCGTGGTAATGTGCACGGTGGGAGGGAGGTCACCGAGGTAATGTGCACGGTGGGAGGGAGGTCACCGAGGTAATGTGCACGGTGGGAGTGAGGTCACCAAGGTAATGTGCACGGTGGGTGGGAGGTCACGCAGGTAATGTGCACGGTGGATGGGAGGTCACGCAAGTAATGTGCACGGTGGGAGGTCACCGAGGTAATGTGCACGGTGAGTGGGAGGTCACAGGTAATGTGCACGGTGGGAGGGAGGTCACCGAGGTAATGTGCACGGTGGGTGGGAGGTCACGCAGGTAATGTTAATGGTGGGAGGGAGGTCACGCAGGTAATGTGCACGGTGGGTGGGAGGTCACACAGGTAATGTGCACGGTGGGGGGCTCACCGAGGTAATGTGCACGGTGGGTGGGAGGTCACGCAGGTAATGTGCATGGTGGGAGGGAGGTCACGCAGGTAATGTGCACGGTGGGAGGTCACCCAGGTAATGTGCACGGTGGGAGGTCACGCAGGTAATGTGCACGGTGGGTGGGAGGTCACACAGGTAATGTGCACGGTGGGAGGGAGGTCACCGAGGTAATGTGCACGGTGGGTGGGAGGTCACGCAGGTAATGTGCATGGTGGGAGGGAGGTCACGCAGGTAATGTGCATGGTGGGTGGGAGGTCACGCAAGTAATGTGCACGGTGGGAGGTCACCGAGGTAATGTGCACGGTGAGTGGGAGGTCATACAGGTAATGTGCACGGTGGGAGGGAGGTCACCGAGGTAATGTGCACGGTGGGTGGGAGGTCACGCAGGTAATGTTAATGGTGGGAGGGAGGTCACACAGGTAATGTGTACGGTGGGTGGGAGGTCACACAGGTAATGTGCACGGTGGGGGGTCACCGAGGTAATGTGCACGGTGGGTGGGAGGTCACGCAGGTAATGTGCACGGTGGGTGGGAGGTCACACAGGTAATGTGCACGGTGGGTGGGAGGTCACACAGGTAATGTGCACGGTGGGGGGTCACCGAGGTAATGTGCACGGTGGGAGGTCACGCAGGTAATGTGCACGGTGGGTGGGAAGTCACACAGGTAATGTGCACGGTGGGAGGGAGGTCACCGAGGTAATGTGCACGGTGGGTGGGAGGTCACGCAGGTAATGTGCACGGTGGGTGGGAGGTCACACAGGTAAGGCAGGGGGGGGGGTAGAGGTAATGTGCACGTGGGTGGAGGTCACGCAGGTAATGTGCACGATGGGTGGGAGGTCACGCAGGTAATGTGCACGATGGGTGGGAGGTCACGCAGGTAATGTGCACGATGGGTGGGAGGTCACGCAGGTAATGTGCACGGTGGGATGGTGAGGGGGAAGGCACGCAGGTAATGTGCACGGTGGGAGGGAGGTCACGCAGGTAATGTGCACGGTGGGAGGGAGGTCACGCAGGTAATGTGCACGATGGGTATACGTAAGAATCTTGTGCACTCTGGCCTCCTCCACCATCGATCCAACAGCTGACTGAGATACAGTTGCCTAGTGTCTCTTGCACCTTTCACTACTCTCACCTTAGTTTATGCCTTAGTGGTCGTTTTTTACAACGATCGCAAGTTTATTTCAGCAAGTATCATGTAGTGATTAGCTGAAAGTTCTTTATAACTAGAGAAGATGCGTAATGTCATTTTTATGGCGTGTAGAATGAATGACCGGCAGTAATATTTACAAGCAATGAATTGTTTACGTTTTTTTTTTGTATTATTGTGTTTCTTTTCAATGATGGATTTTTGTTGTAATATGGTAGTGTGTATTAATGACGGGGGAGGTGTAAGTGTGTGTAATTATAATAGAGTGGGGATATTATAGGTGCCAAGGGTCGCTTGTGAGGCTTCACTTGTTGTGAGTGTTGTCTGGGTGCCGCCAGCGGCCGCCGCAGTACCGCACTTCTCACACATAAGGTTACACGTTCCCTCCTCTCTCTCCCACCCTCTCCTCTCTCTCTCTCTCCCCCTCGCTCACCACATTCGACTCACGGGTCCCGGTGTATTGTATTAATGGGCAAACTGTGATAAATCTTCTCTCCCGGGACCTGAACTTGAAGCAATTTATCGGAAAAGGATATAAAAACAAAAATGTCGGAGTGTGTGAGTGGTGGCGGGGTTGCCGATGCTGCCGCCGGCGGCGGCGGGGGAGCACAGGCTGACAGTTTGGTCAGACAAAGAACAGTACCTGACACTTGTGACCAGAACTGCTCACCAATGTACAATGGAGTGGTGGTCTCGGGTGAGAAGGGAAGGAGCCAGTGTTCCCTTCACCTGTGGTCCAAGAAAGCTCTCCTCAACCGAAAGGACATACCCAAACACTTGCAGTTCAACCCGTATATTGAGACAGGTTATAGGCCTCTCCTGTCAGCCTGGGGATGTCTCATGAGCCTATTTTACTTCCACAACGAGACTATCAACATCATCACTCACGGTAGGTACTTTGTGTATGTTAACGCCATACATTACCCACAGGCTAATATTTTTATTTCTACAAGGTATCAGGCTTAGCTGATATCAGTGACGTACTATTATATAGAAAAATCTTTGTTATGCAGAGAATATCGGGCAAATTACATCAATTTTGCCCCAGGATGCGACCCACACCAGTCGACTAACACCCAGGTGCCCATTTTACCCATGGGTGAACAGGGACAAAAGATGTAAGGAAACACGTCCAATGTTACCACCTTTGCCGGAAATCGAACCACGGACCCTCAGCATGAGAAGCGAGAGCTTTGCCTACCAGGCAAATGAGCCTGGTGAGTAAGACTCGTGAGTAACTCACTGGGGCTCTGTATTGCCGGCTACACAGGCCAAACATTATCCTAATTTACGCAGATGTTACATTGTCATATTCATCAGCCTCACACTGCTGTATTAACTTGTATACCTCATACACTGCTGTATTACCTTGTATACCTCATACACTGCTGTATTACATTGTATACCTCATACACTGCTGTATTACCTTGTATACCTCATACACTGCTGTATTACCTTGTATACCTCATACACTGCTGTATTGTATTCCGCATACATTGCTGTATTACCTTGTATACCTCATACACTGCAGTATTACATTGTATACCTGGTACTAGCCAGATTAAGATCAGTGATTTTTAATGATAACACTGCTACTTATTGTAGGCCGTGAGTCGTGGCTGGTAGCGTCGTGGCTGGTGGGGTCGTGAGTCGTGACCGGTGGAGTCGAGTCGTGGCTGGTAGGGTCGTGACCGGTGGGGTCGTGAGTCGTGGCTGGTAGGGTCGTGAGTCGTGGCTAGTAGGGTCGTGAGTCGTGGCTGGTAGGGTCGTGAGTCGTGGCTAGTAGGGTCGTGAGTCGTGGCTGGTAGGGTCGTGAGTCGTGGCTGGTAGGGTCGTGACCGGTGGAGTCGTGAGTCGTGGCTGGTGGGGTCGTGACCGGTGGGGTCGTGAGTCGTGGCTGGTAGGGTCGTGACCGGTGGGGTCGTGAGCCGTGGCTGGTAGGGTCGTGAGTCGTGGCTGGTGGGGTTGTAAGTCGTGGCAGGTGGGGTAGCGAGTCGTGGCTGGTAGGGTCCTGACTTGTGGGGTCGTGAGTCGTGGCTGGTGGGGTCGTGAGCCCCGACTGGTGGGTCATCCGACACTTTTCCTCCCTGAAGTGGGTAAGAGAGCATCTTGCAGTTACTGATAATGTGCTCTCTCTCAAGGAAGAGGGAGAATTACCTTGATACTCTTGAAAAAGTTAGCTGGAGCCACATCTCCCATTCCTTGAATCAGATTTGATTACCTCTCATTTTCCAGTGGTTATATGACCGTTACTGCTTCTGAGGTAGCCTGTGACTAGCAATTATATAATGAATGGGATCATATATTTAACCTTGGCTGGCGTCTGTGTGGCTAATGTGGTCTAGCCTTGCTATTTTTACCACAGACTATAAACCATGTATTGCTTTAAGCCGTATGAGCACCCATATGTCCCAGGAAAGCAATATACATTTCTAGTTGGTTGATAGGTTTTAACTTTAAAATTATTGACTGGGTGTGGGTGTCATTTAGACTGCTTGTCACCTGCTCACTACCAGCCAATCATACATTAATCCCTGAAATAGAGATTAAAGCAAACTGTGTGTGCAAGCTGAAATTTTATATATACACCCACACGTCTTGTTGACCATCACATAAAAATATATTTTGAAGTCACCATTGCAGAATTGGATATTTGTTAAACTGTTTTCGGTTAGGATACAATGCCAAGTCGTGTATTTAATATTAATGATTTTCTACAAATTGACGTAGAACCAATTTGTGGACTACCTATGACGTTTTACAGGGCAAACCCAAGACCAGTGTTTACCAAACTCTCGTTATATAAGTTTTAATCTTATATATTGGGGGAAAAGTGCTCTCGTGGATCGAGTCGTGGCTCACTGACAGGAAGCAGAGTGTGTCCATAAATGGGGTTAAATCCGAGTGGGGATCTGTAACAAGTGGCGTTCCACAGGGATCAGTTTTGGGCCCGTTGTTGTTTATAATATATATCAATGATCTTGAGGGAATTACTAGTGATATGAGCAAATTCGCCGATGACACAAAGATAGGTAGGATAATTGATTCAAACGTAGATGTTATGGAACTTCAGGAGGATTTAAACAAACTCTATTCTTGGTCAGAAAAGTGGCAGATGCAGTTCAATGTAGATAAATGCAAGGTTCTGAAGCTCGGGAGTGCCCATAACCCTAGTACTTATAAGTTAAATGATGTAGAACTTAGCCATACAGATTGCGAAAAGGACTTGGGGGTTATGGTGAGCAGCAACCTTAAACCAAGACCAGCAATGCCTAAGCGTACGTAATAAGGCAAATAGATTACTGGGATTTATATCAAGAAGTGTAAGCAACAGAAGTCCAGAGGTCATACTGCAGCTTTATACATCATTAGTAAGGCCTCACCTAGATTATGCAGCTCAGTTCTGGTCTCCATATTACAGAATGGACATAAATTCGTTAGAAAACATTCAGCGTAGGATGACTAAATTAATACATAGCATTAGAAATCTTCCTTATGAAGAAAGATTGAAGACTCTTAAGTTACATTCACTTGTTAGACGAAGAATGAGGGAGACCTGATCGAAGTGTATAAGTGGAAGATAGGTATTAATAAAGGGATATTAATAAGGTCTTGAGGATGTCTCTCCAAGGAGAACCGCAGAAATTGAATTTAAATTTGATAAGTTTAGATTTGAAAGGACATAGGAAGTATTGTTTGGAAATGGAGTTGATGAGGGGAACGTCTACCTAGTTGGGTTATTGAGGCTGGGACTTTGGGTAGTTTCAAATTTAGGTTGGATAAGTACATGAGTGGGAGGGGTTGGATTTGAGTGGGACTTTCACATCAGAGCTTATTTCTTGGGTGGCATTGAAAATTGGGTTGGGCAAATGTTTTGTTAGTGGGATGAATTGTAAAGGACCTGCCTAGTATGGGCCAACAGGCCTCCTGCAGTGTGCCTCCTTATGTTCTCGTCTAAAAGTGTTTCCTCATGTGTTGGCGCATTTTTATTTTAATGTAGCTATTTATCTTCCGGTTCTGAACCATTTCACAATATATACGTACCTGTCAGCTTGGCGTCAGTGCTCTAGTGATCTCCCACAAGCTGCCGGACATGGGTACCAGAGCGTGCATTCCCCGCCCATTTGTCCCAGCAGGTTTGGGTTTCCATGGTAACTCGTCCGGCATCGAGTATTTAATCTCAAACTTTATTTATTCCATAAGTAGAGTTATCACACAAAATTCATAAGGCGAGTCATTTCTTTCTCGCATTATTTCGTTCGATGGAATTTAACTCCATGTATGAATTAAAAAGTTAGCAAGAGAAAAGTACATTGGTGCAGCATTATCCCCACCAAGACTAGCACTCAACACCATAGACACGTGCTCTTGAACGCGGCGCGCGCGCGCCACACACCCACACACACACACACACAACCACACACACACACACACCACACACACACACACACACACACACACACACACACACACACACACACACAGCTAGTGACGTCACTAGCCCCGGATTGTGTTATTCACATGTTAATCAACCTCACACCTCTTTACCATACATGCTAGCCATGTATTCTAAATTAAATCACACACACACACGCAAATACAACAGGCCTAGTCTAATCGACATTGCCTAGGGCAAAATGGTAACTAACCACACACTCAACACTCTTCTCACACACACACACACTCACACAAAACACACACTCACACACACACTCACACTCACTCACACACACACACACACATACACACACACATACTGGAGTATGCAGCACCAGTTTGGAATCCACACCTAGTCAAGCACGTCAAGAAATTAGAGAAAGTGCAAAGGTTTGCAACAAGACTAGTCCCAGAGCTACGGGGATTGTCCTACGAAGAAAGGTTGAGGGAAATCGGCCTGACGACACTGGAGGCCAGGAGGGTCAGGGGAGACATGATAACGACATATAAAATACTGCGCGGAATAGACTAGGTGGACAAAGACGGGATGTTCCAGAGATGGGACACAGACACAAGAGGTCACAATTGGAAGTTGAAGACTCAGATGAATCAAGGGATGTTAGGAAGTATTTCTTCAGTCTTAGAGTAGTCAAGCCGTGGAATAGCCTAGAAAGTGAAGTAGTGGAGGCGGGAACCATACATAGTTTTAAGGGAGAGAGAGGACCTAGTAGCAATCAGTGAAGGGGCGGGGCCAGGAGCTATGAATCGACCCCTGCAACCACAAATAGGTGAGTACACACACACATCTCTCTCGCTCACACTCTTTCTCTCACACTCACACTCTCTCACTAGGCCAGTTTAGCAACCTGAAGGTCACCAGATAATTGCAGGGGATCACCTTCCCCTGAAATTTTGACTTAAATAGCGACGCTCTTCTTGCCGAATAAGGCAAGCGAAAATTTGTGTATGCAATAATTTCGCAAAAAATCATTCTGAACCTAATGAAAAAAAAAATTAATTGTGTATGTTTATTATTAAATTATTGTAAACTTGTCTAAAATATATTTAGTTGGAGTAGGCAAAATTAAATTGCGGTTGTAATAAGGTTAGGTAAGTTTTCTAAGGTTCTTTTGGTGCAAAATTATTAATTTTTACAATAACATAAATGAAAAAATATATCTTTAAACGTGTAAGAGAGTTTTAGAAAGAACTTTAATTTTAAATGAGTTCTTGCTAATTGATCAGTTTTACCTATTCGGCACGATATATATATATAAACACGGGATAACAGGTACATGTTGCTGCTTCTACTTACATTTAGGAAAACACACACACACACACACACACACACACACACACACACACACACACACACACACACACACACACACACACACACCACACACACACACACACACACACACACACACACAACACACACAAACACAGCAG